TAATCAGAGTTGGATACATTAAACACACGCTGGGTTTTGTTTTTTGTTTTTTTTTCCAGAGCTGAGGACGGAACCCAGGGCCTTGCGCTTGCTAGGCCAAGTGCTCTACCACTGAGCTAAATTCCCCAACCGCACATACACTGTTTTTTTTTTTTTTTTTTTTTTTGGTTTTTCGAGACAGGGTTTCTCTGTGTAGCTTTGCGCCTTTCCTGGAGCTCACTTGGTAGCCCAGGCTGGCCTCGAACTCACAGAGATCCGCCTGGCTCTGCCTCCCGAGTGCTGGGATTAAAGGCGTGCGCCACCAACGCCCGGCTCATACACTGTTTTAAAACAGCAATTTGGGCAAAGAAGAGACATCTCAATATTGTAGCTTTCTTCAGTTCATGTGGCACTCTGACTTTCTGATATCCTCAACCTATTTTAATAAAACACAGGCATAGCGACTCATTAAAAATGCATGCCATTTTGTACACTAGCAAAAAACAAACAAAACAAAAGTTAAGAATCTATACGTTCATCTCAACAGAAGGAACACGCCACACAACCCTAATGTACAGGCCCACCTTCCAGCAAACTGGGTGGAAGGCAGCCCGAGCTGACAGGGCAGTGATGAAAACAGTGACGCTCAGCAGTGAGCAACCGAACCCTGGGGTGGGGAGCGGGCAGGCGCACCTGCTCATTTCTTCCGTCCAGCAGGACGGTGGAGAGCACAACCCCTCAGACATCAGGAAGAACACAGACCAGGAAGGGAGTCGCTTTCACAAGCTGATCACCTCACCAGGAGCAAGGAATCCACAAAGAAAGGAAGCTACGGGACTGACGAGGGAATCAGTGAACCTGCAGGACACAAACGCAGAGCGCAAAATTCTACCGCTCCCGGGAAACAGCAGGGGCAACTGGGAGAGTCCAGTTTAAGAATTACAGCAGCATCACAGGGCACAAGACACCTATGAAGCCGGTGTTAGAACTGAGGAGGACTAAAGCAGCCCCAGATACAGAGGGCTACACAACGGCCAGGGGCTGGCTGGGAGACCCATCACCATAGCCATGCGCCGGCCCTGAAGACCCAACACCACCACAAAGCTGGTGCTCTTCAAACTGGCCTACAGAGTCAATGTAATCCCCCCCCCAAATCTAACTGAATTTTTTCTTTCTGTCCCCCTCCCTCTCCCCGCCTTCTCATCATTATTATTTTGGTAGAAACTGGCAAGCCTCTAACATTTATGTGAAAGAATAAAGTTCCTAGATGAGCCATATAGTCTTTCAAATGGAAGGATAAAGTGGAAAAAATCCAAGGAGAGCTGTTTTAAGACTTCCTGAAGAGGTGTAATAAATAATAGCACTGGTGTATGTATAAAGGTAGAAAAATGAATCAATAGAAAAGAAAGACATTAACCCGTGGATGTTCAACTGGTTCCAACAAAGGTACCAAACCACTAAATAAGAAAGGGTACCTTCAACAAAGGCTGTCAGGCAACCCAGTGTCTACACAGAATAGGACCAACCTCATACCTCATCTCAGCCATGGGCTAATGCAACTCAATTGCAGGCCCAAATGTGGAAGTTAAAATGATCCAAAACACTTCTAAAAGGCAAGGAAGAGAGCCTCACCATTATTAGGTAGGCGAGGATACCAGATCCAGAAGCACCTACTGTAGAAAAGAATGATAAATTATGCTTCATGAAAGAAAGTCACCTGCTTATCAGTGGGTTCTGCATGGAAACTACCACGTCTGCCAAAGGCTGGGAGAAAACATCCATGTGATGAAGGATGGGGACCAACTCAGACAAAGAATTTCTACAGCCAATGAAAAAGGACAGGGAAGAGAAAGAGAGAGAGGGAGGGAGGGAGGAAGGGAGGAAGGGAGGGAGGGAGAGAGAGAGAGAGAGAGAGAGAGAGAGAGAGAGAGAGAGAGAGAGAGAGGATATATATCATCCACACAAATATTTCCAGACTAAAATAAGGAAATGGACAATAAGTCAATGTAAAGAGGGTGAACATCACCAGTTACCAGGGAAGTAGAAGTCAAAGCCACAAGATGCCACTGTCCACACACTAGAACAACCAGAAACAGACAGCCCGATGTACCCAAACCCCAGAACACTGGGGCCAGCACAGTTCCTGGGGAGGCTGAGATGCTATGGGCATTTTGGAAAATGGCATGTCAGTTCTAATAAAAAGGAAACAAACCTATTCCCCGGTAGCTCCACCCCTTGGTATTTGTCCTCAAGGAATGACCCCCAAGCCCACGGAACGCATCACGCAAGCCTTTCACAGTAGCCCCATTCATGTCAGCCTGAAGCTGGAATTGACCCAAGTGAACAGGCAAGTGATCAAACAGACTCGGAGTTTGCACAGTGGGGATCCATCAGCAGTAAAAAGGAGCTGATGTTATGACACACATGAGTCTTAAAAACGTTTTGTGAATGAAATCAAAAGCAGACATAAGTGCACACATGGGTCTCAGGAGAACTTCCACAGTCAGCCTTCAGTTCATCGGAACCAGGGACACATGCCCAGCCATGGCCACCATCCAATCACATCTTCACACCCACCTCCTACCTCTCTCTCCCAAAGCCTCCCTGACACAGATCGAATCCTGAGGCCATCGAGACACTGTCTCCCGCCCAGCCTTGCAGAAGCCATCCTCTGCTGAAACTAGACCAAATCTCATGTTGTATTTTAAACAGGTGTTTCCAAAATCCTCAGAAGACAGCAGTGAGTACCAGAGAAACAGTCAAAAAAACATAAGTCTAAAACAGAGAAAAACCAAATGAAAACCAGGAAGAGATGTAGGGAGCCCTGTGGGAGGGAAGCACCAGGATGTCGGGGAAGAAGTTAGGGTGCAAGTAGGGGCTACCCTTCCCGTCATGTGCCAAGGGAGGCTGGACAGCTTCAGGGTGGAGGTAGGCTTACAGCTGCTGGGTGCGCTTCAGGACCCACTCCTCATCTTACTAACACCATGACCTTATCAACACTCTCTGGGAAGAAAAGGAAGCAGCACAGACCCCAGCTGCCTCTGGCCTTGTGAGTGAGGCCTCTCTAAGTGCATTCTGGGTAGCATCCTCATTGGCACTTAGCAGCAGCTGCCCACAAACAGCCCAATGCCTGGGCACCAGCATCAGGAGTAGAGATCAAATGGACAGGATGGTACCCACCCAGCAGACCCTCTGATACTCTCTCTACATGGCGTGGCTACATAGGGTGCATTAGGGCCACAGCAGATATCTACCTGGAAGCCACTGCCGGATGCAGATGTCAGTCCAGACTCTGGGACAGAAAGATCTCAAGGACTTTCACAGATGGGAAACTTGGCCCCAGAGAAGCTCACTAGGCAAAAAGTCACACAACAGCCGGGCATAGAACCAGACCAAGAACAGAGCACAGCCCAGTGCGAACGAAGGATTGAAGCTACCATCTAGAGTAGAGTGTACCCCAGCCTTACCACCCCGCCAGCAGGGAGGAGTTCCTTGGGAAGCTGCTGATACCTCCATTGAAGCACTAGACACCTGTCCCCCTAATCGGATATCCTCAGGGAAGCCACCTGCCTATGCTGCTACTGAAGGTCTGGGACCACCCCAGACAAGGGGCTTTGATGCTGTGACCTCCACAGGCTGTCCCTCTTCCTCTACCCAACTCTTCCCAGTCTCAGAAAGGAGGATGATCCCCATAGTTCTACAGTGAGGTGTCCACACAGGGAAATTAGAAGAGACTCCTAAACACCCCGCCCGACTCTTCCAGAGGCTATGAAAGTCCTGCCTCATCACAACTTATGCGTCCACCTGCAGAGGAAAGGGTGAAAAGGCGGAGGCCCTCTGGCTCATACACTTAGGAATGGACCTTCCCTGACTCCCATCTGCACAAAGACACCTGGAAGTCACCAGGTAGGCTGACAGGCATCCAGAGAGTGGAGGACCAATGGTACCAGATGGAACCCCCTTTCTATCCTTGTCAGGACGGAAGGAAGGGATTATGGGTCATGGTCACCAGGAGACTCGAGATGCCTGGGCCTGGTTTTCAGATCTTCTGCCTTGCACAGTAGCATGCCTCCTGCCTTCTTAAGGGTTGTCTTGCCTAGGTGCCCTCCCACCAGGGAGGTTAGGCCTTGGTCAACTAGGAGGAAAGCTACATCCCAGGACAGATACTGGGGGGGGGGGTGCAGAGTCAGGAAGTGGGCACATGCAGGTGTTTGGAGAAGTTCCTTGACAAACGCCACCCACTTTCCTGATGCCCAATATGAGAGCCAGTCCTCTGAGCGACTGTGAGAGAGCCCGGTGTGGTGGTAGTGTATTCCCCGAAATATTGTGCACGCTAATAAACTTATCTGGGGTGGGGGTCAGAAAACAGGACAGCCACAATATTAAACATAGAGGATAGGCAGTGGTAGCACACGCCTTTAATCCTAGCATTCCAGAGGCAGAGATCTACCTGGATCTCTGTGTGTTCAAGGATACAGACAAGCATGGTGACTCATCACGCCTTTAATCCCAGAAAGTGAGCCTTTAATCCCAGGGAGTAATGGCAGACAGCAAAAAGGTATTTAAGGCATGAGGACCAGGAACTAGGCTGGTTAAGCTTTTAGGCTTTTGAGTAGCAGTTCAGCTGAGATTCATTCTGGATGAGGACTCAGAGGCTTCCAGTCTGAGGAAACAGGATCAGCTGAGGAATTGGCAAGGTGAGGTAGCCGTGGCTTGTTCTGCTTCTCTGATCTTCCAGCATTCACCCCAATACCTGGCTTCAGGTTTGATTTTATTAATAAGACCATTTAAGATTCATGCTACAGCCTGGCCTGGTTGGTTTCTGCTTCTGAGGAGGCTTTCCAGGCTAGTCTACCTCACAGTCTACCTCATGGCTCAAGCTAGACCCAGACACCTGACAGCCCAGACCCAAGCTTGCCTTGCCGGCACCCTCCCTAGCAAAGCTCCAGAGTCCTGGCCAGTGGCTAACCCCTGCCCCTGCCCAGGTCTCCCCCCCCCCCCCAGCTGGAGAAGGGACTCACTGATGGGCGCATGTAAGGCGACATGCTCCTGGTAGGGCGTGTAGTACTTGTACTGCTTCCCGCAGAACTCGCAGGTGTAATTGCCGGTTTCTGCGGAAGGAGAAGGAGGTATGAGAACAGGTACCTGCCCTCCCCCACCTCAAGCCAAACATCAGCATTTCTTAGCCCCCAAACTCCTCTTCATTCTGGGACCACCAACCAGATTCAACTCGGACTGTGGAGGGGTACTGTCTGGTTCAAATCCCAATGTGGCGTCTCCTATAACCTCTGACAGTTGGTGCTGTGTGTGGTGGGGGTGTGGGGAGAGGGGGCAGTTCCATGTACACATGTGTGCATAGGTTATCATACGTGTGGAGACTCAAGGTCAACTTTGGGTGCTTTTCTCCACAGCTGTTTGTTGTTTGTTTGTTTATTGAAACAGGACCTCTTGCTGAACCTAGAGCTCACTGATTTGGGGGAACTGGCTGGCCAGTGAGCTCCAGGAATCCACCCTTTTTTGCCTTCTCAGTCTGGGATTCGAGGCACAGGCTGCTGCTGCACCTGGCTTTTTACATGGGTCCTGGGGATCTGAACTCAGGTCCTCATGCCGGCATGCAAGTGCTTTGCCAACCGAGCCCACTCTCCATCCCCTCACCACCTCGTGCCTCCATTGTTCTACCTGTGAAAGGGAGGGAACAGAAGGGCCACCATCGTGGACTGCTGTGAGGTTAACTCTGAGTATGAAACGATTAGAACAATGCCTGGCAGCCTTGACACTCGGGGGACCCCAGCTGACCCGCAGTCAACCTTTCCATCAGCCTTCCTGCAAGCCCTGCCCACTGCATGGTCACCACCATGGTCCCTTAGCTCCAGGACTTTGTGTCCAGGTGTCTCCACCCACCAGAGCTGGGGTCACACTTCTTAGTCCTCGGTAGGCCTGGATATTTGTTTATTTACGTATTAATTATTGCATGTGTCTGGTGTACATGTGGGTGCGTGTGTGCTACTGAGTACATGGAGAGGTGGGAAGAACAGCATGGGTTCTGCAGGACAAGTTCAGGTATCAGGCGGACAAGGCACACAGTTTACTCCTTGGGCCACTGTGCTGGTCCATCATTAGCCTTTTATCTTCACATCTCTCTAGGTTCTGCCTAAATTCTCCTTTAAAGATGTCTGGTGTAAAATGGTTTATTTGGGGACAGTGCTGATAAAATACTCATAAATACAAGTGCAAAGCTTTTAAAAGAAACACACGTTATCTTCTGCGATCCCTACGCCAAGGGGAACATCTTCCCCCAGGACCTCACCAGCTGCCCCACCCTGCCCCCACATCCCCTTCACCCTCCTCTAGGGCGTTTCTCTGCTGCTACCATTCATTTGTCTGGCTCCTATGGCCTTGAATTAGCCAGCCCTGATCAATATCCTCTTTGTAACCTGGTGTATTCAATCGACAATACTTTGTGGACATCTTGCCCAATCAATAAGTATTGATCTCCAGGACTGCCTTTATCGGCTGCATGGCTCCCACGGGACTTGGGAATTTGCTGAGCCAGTTGCCCTCCACCAGGGGACATTCAGATTGTTTCAAGCCACACACCCCATCCCCTTGTTAAAAAAAAAAAAATGCTGTAATACACGTCCTTGCAGGGGCTTTTGCATATTTGCCTATTAGTTTGGCACATGATTACAAAATAAAGCCCACTGCTCAGGAGCCTGCCTGTGACTTCCTAGGGATAAAGAGGTGGGGGAGGGGCACGCCTTCTGAAGGCCTCTGGTCACACACACACTGCATCCCTACCACCTCTCTATTTTGCATATCTGACCTGGGAGGGACAGCCCGATTACACTACAGACTTTATTTTCCATTTCCTTGATTTCTAAGGAAATTGTTTTTCTTGTATAATTTAGTATAGTTTTTCTTTTGTGAATTTCTTTTACAAATCACCACATTATTTATAGATTCATGATATCAACATTTTGTTACATATATTACAGACAGCTTTGTCTCAGCTGGCTTCTTAAGTCTCTTTTGATTTCCTCTCCCAACCTGGAGGCTTTAGGATTACAGGTAGTTAAACAATTTTTGGAGCTGACTCATGAATGCTGAAAAGGTATGCCTTTTAGTTCTTGTCAAGATTGTTAGATCAACTGTATTAATTATATTATTCCAATATTATATAACCTTGTCTGCTTGCTCCAGGAAAGTCTAAATGCTGTGATAAACCCTCCCATTCCACTGCTTTCCTGGATTTACTTTGTTATTTAGGTACATTATTGTTTGGTGTAAGAAAGCTTGTAGCTCAAACTCTCTAATGGAGGGCTGGGAATGGAGTGGTCAGCTGAACTTGCCTAGCCTGCAGGACATCCTAGGTTCCCTCCTCAGCTCTGTGGAAACTGAACATGGTACTAACTCTTGCAATCAGAGCAATAGGAAGGCAGAGGGAAAAGGATCAGAGGTTCAAAGTGACCCTCATCTACACATGGAGCTCTGAGTCATCCTGGGCTACATGACATGAGACTCAGTCTTAACACACCGCTCCTAAGTGATTCCTGGACCACAGGAGCCTGACAGAAACCCAGCATCTCTGGATTTACCCAAGATCTGCTGAGAGAAAATTTCTACGGGTGTGGCCCATAAATTTATGTTTTAACAAGGACATTCTAATGCATGGGAAAGTTTAGGAAGCATCGTTCGAACGTTTAATTAAACCATTTTATTAGTTCGTCTGGTATTAATATTATTAAGTTCCTAGTGATCCATCAGGTCGTGATTTCTACTTGTTTGCATGTGTCTAATGACATGTTCTTACATGTTCCTATACTTTCATTCATTAAGCCGGGACGGCACTAAAGTAGAGGCTGAGCAGAAACTGTCATGTCCCTGTCTTCAAAAAGCTGTGTGGAAAGGGAAACGGAACGCTCAAACCATCACACGACTTTCAAACCGCACCCGTAGTATGTACACTCAAGGAAACAGTGTCTCAAAGTGCCACAATGAGGCCTTTAATCTCTTTAAAGGAGTAGAGAATCAAGTCCCCGAGAAAGACAGGCTGAAGCAAAGGGAAAAGATAAGGAATGAACTAGGTGGGACGCTCGTAAACCATTAGTGATTGGGATTATTTCCAATGAACTTGACAGCTCCTCTTTTCTCACCGGAGAGATTACACCACTTGCTTTTATTGCGACGATCGATTTGGTTTTTACATGGTGAACATTCCTAATCCCCAACCCTGAAATGCTCCAACAGGACGCCACAAGGAGGAAACTCCATGCTCTGAATCTTTGTGTCACGCATAATGTCATTACAAATATTTAATGAAAATTACTTAGAGGTTATCTATACCCATATATGAAAGGTAAGTACATTTTCTATTTAGACTCAGGTCCCATCCTAGGATAGTACATTATGATACGCAAAAATTTTAAAATCCAAAATCCAATAGGTCTTAAACATTTTAGCTATGGGACAGCCAACCTGTGCTCATCTTCTGTTTTTCTAGCCTCACCCTCTCTGGTTTGTCCTTCTGAGCTCTGGCTGTTTGGGATACGAGCTCTTTGCTTTTCCATTTCCTCCTGTGTTCCATTATTTTTAAATATTCCTTTTTATTTTAGAAAGCATATAACATATATTTCTTTAATAGTTAACGGGGGGGGGGGATGGCATTTAAAGTCTTTCACTGCTGAGAAAGGGTGCTTAACCTGGTACTTATTAAACTGAAAAAATATTTATTTGCATTTATATGTCTCTGTGTGTATGCTACATGTGTGTGGGTGCCCACGGAAGCCAGAAGAGGTGTATGCTATCAACTGCTGGATGTAGGTGCTGTGAGTTGAACTTGGGTCCTGTGGGAGAGCGGCCTTTAACCGCTAGCCCTTTCTCCAGACCTTTTCTGAGACTTTAGCACATGTAAAAATCCCCTACAAAGTCTCACAGCATAGATCAACCACCGGGTTCTAATCTAGAGATTCTGATGCCACAGGTTTGGGCTAGAGTCACAGAATTCACATTTCAGGTAAATTTCAAGGAGCGGTTGATCTTGCTGGTCTGGGACCACACGCAGGGTGGGACCAGCCAGTCCTTCACTGTGCACAGCATTGAAACACTTTAGTGCATTACCCCATGTCTCTCTTCTTTCAATTTTTATTATTTTTTGGGGGGAAGGCAGGGTCTCACATAGCTCAGGCTGGGCCTGAACTCACTATGTAGCTGAACATGGCTGTGGCACGATGGTGTCCCTGAACTTACTATGAAGCTGAAGGTGGCTATGGCATGCACTACCATGCCTGACTTATGGGGTGCTGGAGATCAAACCCAGGATGGGTTTGTGCATGCTAGGTGAGTACCTTACCTACCAACTGAGCTAATCCTGGTCCTTTTTGGTAACTCAACTCTATATTTAGGTCAATCACTACCACATACACTCAACTTCCATAATTAGATTTACAATGGTTAAAACTGACTTGTTCAGAGTCCATAGTCCTCTTACACTATAGATTCCCCAGTGCCTACATGTGTTCCATCAATCAGTTCCCTAAGTATGTTCTTTCAGAAAAAGTTTTTCTCATTTTGATTTGCACGCCAATTCCAATTTGCCCAGGCATAAAATTCTTACCGCCTCTTTCCTTCCAAACATATCCACTTTCTTTGGATATACAATGTTGCAGAGAAGTCTCAAGACGTCTACTTGGAACTCAGAGGTAGATACAACTTATTTTTTTACAGGTAGATATCTCAATTTTCCTCTTTCTAGCTACACCTTTGAAGCCATTAAGATCTGCTGATTCTTAGGGTCTCCTTATGTTGACTCTGTTTGACAGTATGACAAACCTTTCCAACTCACACATACAGGGCTCCGTGAGCTCAGCAATGTTTTCTTCCATTAGCTCTTTGCACTCTTTGTCTGTCACAACTGGTCACAGCATCAGTCACCTGGAGCTGGTCCCGTTTTCACGTTTCTTGCGGTCTTCCGTGACTGCTGTCCTTCACGTTGCTAATCAGTTTTGTGCAGACGGATTCTGTCGTTACGGTCGTTCAGCTTTTCATACTGCTCCTGTGTTCTGTTTTCCCCTTTCCCATCTTACGCTGCTCTGTGCCTTTTCATCTTATCCCGATGTCTTTTCATCATACAATCCCAGGCTCCTTTACCACAGGGCCATGCAAGGGTGGACTGTCCCTCCCCTATCCACACGCTCGGGCACTGGGCTCTACTGTGATGCCATCTGGAATTGGGGCCTTTGAGAGGCAATGAGGATTCAGTGAGATCATGACAGGAGGAACCATATGATGGGGTTAGTGTCCTTAGGAGAGACACCAGATCTCAGTCTCCCATCTCCCTTCCCATCACCCTTAATGGCGACATAAGGTCCTCTGCAAACCAGGAAGAGACTCCTCACCAGAACCCAACCCCACCAGACTTCCAGATTCCAGAGCTGTAGCAGTTATGGCAAAGCCTTCAGGTTATGGGGTTTTTTTTTTTTGTTTGTTTTATGGCAGGCCAAGTGGGAGATGAGTGGTAACTTCCTCTTCCTCCTCCTCCTCCTGATACAGGATTCTTGCTTTGTAGTCCAGGCTGGCCTTGAACTTGAAATCCTCCTGCCTTAACTTTCTTAGTACTAGGCTTACAAGTGTGTGCCACCACATCGAGCCTGTTATAATATGTGATGGAGGTTGTACAAAAACGTTTCTGTCTAGACTTTGTGACAGGCCGTGTTCAGAGATACACTCTTCCCTGGGCTTTTCCTGCACCTTCTTTCTTGTCTGCTGGAATTCTCAGCGTTATTGAGCTTTTGCTTGTTTTCAAGCTGCCTCCTTTATCCAAGCATAAAGGTCACTCGAGGCCAGCTTTCCTGCCTCAATAGATGATGGAAACTGTTCTCCACGTCCCTCCGGGCCACAGCCACAGCAGTCATCCTCAGCCTGCAGCTGACGGGCATGACACCCGACCAACACTCTTCCAGCTGCTGCCCTCTTGCTCCTCACGGCCTTGTCTCTTCCTCTCCCATTTGCTCAGGTGAGGCCACATGGAAAGCACTTTCCTCTGGAAATCCTCCTCTTCCCTGGACCTTTGGAGCTTTCCTTAGAGTAACCAGGCTCCCTTGTCCTATGCCTAGTTTATTTTTTAGGGATCCAGAGCACCAGTCTTTTCAAGAAGCAGCATCCTCCACTCGCACTCAGTCTGACTCTATGGAGAATCTGACATGGCTGCCGCAAGCAATCTTACTCCCACTGGGGAGAGGTGGGGGTGCCCGCTGCCAACCCTGGTTGAGTTTCCTCAGGGTAACCCCAGTGTACTCCGTGGGGAGTTCTCCAGATCCTAGCAAGGGCTTCCTATCGGATCAGGCACAGAACACCGTTCACCCGGCCCTGCATCTTGATGGGCAGTCTGCAGGTCCCACTTAGTTAATGTGACAAGGACCGTGCTAACTCACTTACAACAGAGTCCCACCCTATCCCTGGGGCCATCCTGAAAGGGAGGGCTGTCATCACTCCACTGTGGAGTAGATCGGACAGACTTCAGAAACAGGGAGGGTCCCACGCACTAGGACTAGAGTTGGGATGTAGGTTTGGGCCTGCTCTCGAACACCTGATGGCTTCCCAGTGACATCCCTCGTCTTACACCCTGGATAAGAGACAGGAACTGGGCTCGACACTGCTACATACATTCTCTCGCCGTGGAGAATATGCCACCGTTCCTGTCCCCCGCTTCCAGGTGAGCCAAAGCACGCTGAGCAGGGCTAAGCACCTGTTCCTGCTTCTCCTACAGTCTCACTCTCAGTTGGACATCTCACTGTCTTCTCAATCCACGAGGTGATTTTCACCCTCCCAAGCATCCAGTGTCTACTATGCTCGCGACAGGCAGTTTGATCCCCTCTGCAGACACCATGTCCTCTGCAGGCTCCTGAATGACTCAGGAAGAAGCAGAGAGAAATCTAAGAACTACCCTCTGAGCATGCTCAGACAGCACGAAGGAAAGGCCCCACGGGCAGCATCTAGAACCTTCCAAGATCCCAGGTAGAGCTCTCTTCTGCACAGCATACCCCTCTTCCATGTTAGCTCATCTGATTTCCTCACCCCTGAATTCTGTTTCGGTGTGTGTTTTCGCAAACAGCCTTGGATCCTTATTGTAATAAAGAGCTGAAGACAATAAAGGTCTCTTCTTGCAGGATAGTAACTGAGGCACAGGAAACAGGTGAAAGGAACAAGCTGGAACTTCTTGAAGGGCTGGATGGAAGAGTCTCCCTCTTTGTGGTCCTACTGTACCTGCCTACACTGACCATGGGGGGGGGTCCTTCCCTATCTAGTCTCCTCCTGGCAGCCTCATGGTCACCCAAGTTCCTCTCCATTCTGAACTCTGGCTCAGCCCTATAAGGACCAAGTCTGCTGTGGAATAATCCTGTACATTGTGAAAATGTGTTGCTCTCATTGTTCATAAAGAAGCTGACTGGCCAAAAGCTGGACAGGAAGTGACTGGGCAGGAGACACAGACACAGAGGAGGCTGGGAAAAAGAAGGGTGGAGTCAGAGGAATTGCCAGGAGACACAGAGGGAACAAGACATGCTGGAGGACAGGTAAAGCCATGAGCCACATGGCAAAAAAATAGATGAATAGAAATGGGTTCATTTAAGTTGTAAGAACTAGTTAGGAATAAGCCTGAGCTATCAGCCGAACATATATAATTAATATTAAGATTCTGTGTGTTTATTTGGGAGCCAGCAGTCCCGATAAAAAGCTCTGCCTACAAAGTCTAGATACTCAAAGCCCTCTAAGATATGAACCCACCATTGTGTCTCCTTCCCTTGCCAGAGCCAGCATCCTCCCCTACCTCTGAATGTGGTGACATCCCCTACCTCTGAATGTGACATTCCCTACCTCTGAATGTGACATCCCCTACCTCTGAATGTGACATGGGGCTCCATCCCTACCTGTATCTGCCCTGGAAGCTTCTTGGTTCTCATGCAAGACTTCTCTGACCCCTGAAGATCTGGATGCTCTGGGTTCTAACTGCTCACTTGTCTACCCTCCCACACCCCTGATCTCCATGTGAATTACCCGAGTGCAGGGCCATGTCTGCCATCTACATCTGTACAACATCCAAGACAAGTCTGCTGAAAACACCCAAGTGACAGGCGTGGTTCCTGTCCTGAGGGGTTGTATGGGATAAGTGTCTATAAGTGTCTGTGTCTGCAGGTGGCTGCCCTCCTTAGCTTTGTTCACTGAGATGTCCCTCGACTTCAGTCATCACCCTCTGAGCACCTAGTACGTTGTTCCGGGCACTGGGCTACAGCACTAGCAGTCTGGGATCTCATTAACATCTCCCGAGTCTGCGGCGAGCATTTCTCTCATTGCTATGGGAGGTTGAAGTACAGGAAACTAACAGACTGTGGGGTCACCATAAACGAATTGATGAAGTAAGACTGTGGACTGGCTACTTTCACTACCCTGGCCTTGACCCCACACTGTCTGCAGTTCCTTGAAGGCTAAAGTCCTGAGACTGCTTAGCCCAACCGACAGGTGAGCAACAGGGCTGCAGGTTTGGGCCACAGCCTTTCTAGCAGTGTGGCTCAGGCCGCCTCCCTCCCCCGACCCCGCCAGCCCTTGGCCCCAGGGTCTCGCATACTTGGTCCAATTTTCTGGAACGGCTCCGGAGGCTCCTCCTTCACCTCATCCGTGGCCACAACACCTTGGTCAAAGGGGTCTGTGGGAGAACACACGGCCTTAGCATACTGGTCAGCCAGGACACAGGAACCCAGCTGGAAACAGGAAAAATGGACAGCCACAGAGACTTACCTGCCCGATTCTCGGGAGCCCCTTCCACACTGAACACTGTACCCAGGCGGGAGGCGACAGCCACAGGAGGAAAAAAGCAAACAGAAGGCCTGTGAGTCCCTGGCCACAGCTACCTCTTCCAGCCATGCCTAGCTTCACGGGGTTGTCTGTGCCACCAGGAGGCCTGACCTCCACCCTGACCCATTTTTCCTCCTCCCTGGGGGCAGCGGCCCACACCGGACACTTGCTGCTCTCAACTCCCCAGCATGAGTGCCATAGCAGAGGAGTCTCAAAGGTGAGGAGAGGGAAAAGGGAGGTGAGGGGAGGCTGTGGAAGAGGCAAGCCTGGTGTTACATCACGGCTCAGTGGCTGAGGTGTAGGGCTAGATAGGGAACCTCAAGTCCTTTCTGGGTCCCAAACCCTCTTTCTAGGAGTCTTAGAACGCTATAGATAAAAGACTTGAATTTATTGTTCCAACCTCCGCCTCTATAAGATGCTCAAGGGACATCGCTCATCTTAACAAATTGGGTTAATTTCGCTACAGCATGCAAACACTCAACATAAAACTGTAAAACGGCACGAGACGAAGTTTCAACATTCGACTCATTTTGACCTCTAAAAAAAAAATAAAAAATGCAGCAGCAGTTTCATTTGGATCAGCCACAGAAGGGAACGTGGATACGCAGGGACATTCCCTCCCCAGAATCCTGCAGCAGAGATCCGTCTCCCCGGGGCTCTGCGTTACAGGGGATGGCGCCCCTAAGGAAGGCTCTTTCTCTGAGGTGACTCCCAAGAGTGAGGGGCCTGACTCACCATCCACGGCGTGGAGGTCTCGGTGCTCCTGGAAGCAGCTGTAGTATTTGTATTTCTTTCCGCAGATGTCACAGGTGTACCTGAAATTGTCTGGGGGCGGGGTGGGGGGGTGTGGGTGGGACAGAAGGACGACACTGGTCACTTGCGGTGAGGCTGCTGGTCAGTACACCAGACTCTGGAACCCAGACAGGACCAACCCGGTCTGGCCCCAACTGGAGGGCCCCACGGAGAACTTGATCCTGAGCCGTCTGAGTCCCGCAATGCCCACCTCTTCTGAACAGAGGCTACTTCTCCTCACTCCCTGGACCTCTCTCTGAGCCGCTCCTCTTCCACGCGTAGCCGGGTCTCCCTCCACACCCCCCTCAGCCTCCACGCCAGGGCCGAGTTAGAATGCATTCTGAGACTGTAAGGCTTGGATTGTGACAACAGGTGTTCTTTATGGAGCTCCAGAACCACAGACCTGGGAGCCTGATTCCCACACCAACCCCTCAAACCCTCCCCGTGAGACTCAAGTTCTCCAGGACCTGGTTCTAGATGGGTCTCAGCTCCCACCACAGAGGAGTATCCACCACTGCAGCTCCTATGGTGAAGGCCAGACGTAACTGAACAAGGTGCCACCCCAGGCCCTTCCCTCGGGTTCTCCCAACCAGTCTTTTCAACAGAGGGAAGAAACAGTCTCCCATTAATGTATGAGCGAACTAAAGGGACGTGATCGGCCCCAAGGCAGCCTGGCTTCAGAGGCACGCTGATGGCCCTTGCAGCTAGTGTTCACACCCTGTGTGACTCCTCTCGGGGGGCTTCTGATTAGGAGAATATGGTCGAAGTGATGGGATGTCACTCTGGAAGTTGGGTGACAGGCAGCCAGGGCGTTGGCCTCGCACACACCACTTGTCCCCTGCTCAGTCTGTGGTTGGCTGCTGTGTTCTTAGTTCAGTCACAGGGAGGAGATGCAGGTGGCAAGGACTTGAGTTTGGCCCTCTGTGAGGAGCCAGTGGGAACTGAGGCCCTCAGAGCAACAGTTTGAGAGGTACAGAGGCCTGAAATCCTGGCTTTCTCACTCAAGCAAACCTAGGAGAAACACCTACCGGCTGAAGCCTGGGATGAGACCACAGCTCTGACCAAACCTGCCTGTAGTCCTGTGGGAATCTCGAAACCAGAGGACCCTGAAAAGCCACACTCGAATTCCCAACCATAGAAACTGGGAGAAAACCAGGGTGGGTTGCTCTGAATCATTAAGTTTTATAGACTTGACAGCTAACACTGGTCCAAGTTTGCCTGTTCCCTAGGCCTCCCACAGTGAGGCTAGCAGCAACCAGACCTATACCTTTCCCTCCAGGGCACAACCTCTTGCTTCTGAACTGGCTCAGCCCTGTTGAATTGTGTTCCTCTGGCTGACCTATGGAGGGCCCATCAATCTTATCTCCCAAGATCCCTAGGCAGCATACAGAGGTACAGCAGCTTGCTCAAGGCTGTACGGAGAGAAGAAGAGAGAGCTAGGGACCAATATTCACTGAACTTCAAGCTAGAGCCGAGTCAGGGTTCCCAGCCTTTCTCTGCTGGGATGAAGCGTGGTGGGGTGCTGTGCTCTGGACCCATTTCCTGCTCCTCAGCATCCAGGACAGGAAGGAGCCAACGGAATACTCCACACCAAGGCTGCACCACTCTGCAGAAGGGTGAGAAGGGTTCTGCTCCCCTTCTCAGCTGAACTCAGGGACAGGAAGGACACTGGTCATCTTTCGTCCCACCTCCGCCCTCAGCCCATCCCTGGAATGGTAGTCCCAGAAGGCTGCAGAGACGGACTGTCATGGAGGACCCACAGCTCAGGCACTTGTAGACACTCACAGGAAGGAGTACCAGGGTCTTCCAAAGAGGAGCTGGTGGGGGGTGGGGGGGTGAGAGGTGTGGTCTCCGCCCCCCTCATTTTCCCTGTCTAATTTTGGAAGTCCAGGGCACACAGATCAGGCGACCCTGGGTCCTTTCTTAGGCTTCTGCTTCAGCATCACTTCCTTTCCCATGGCAAGCCAGGCAGCTCAGAGGAAACCTTTCCTTCCATTCTCTCCCATCTGGACCATAATCCTTAGCTTCTCCCACAATCCCATCATCGTCTCCGGATGCCAGCATGGAAAGCTGCCTGGGCGCTAACTCCAGCTGAGGTGCAGTCCTGACCTTCCTCTCTCAGACTGCCCGGCGGTGCCTGCCCTCCGAGGCCGCTCTCTCTCCGCTGGCATGTATCTCTGCCCACAGCCTCTCCTGTCGCAGACCTGCTCCTCTCCCCACAGGCCACGTTTCCCAGCTCCAATAAAACACACACACCCCCCAACTTTCCGTCACTGAAAACCACCCCCATCTGCCCTGATGAATCTGCATGGTCTCCTCATGTCCCAGAACTTTAATGGAGGAGTTGAATAGGGAGAGAGTGAGTTATTCCCAAAGGCATCTGCCAGTGAAACGAGAGCCGGGCGGCTCAGGAATGCCACCATGGACCTGCTACAGGAGGCAGATTCCGGAGTGAGACACACCTAAGCCCAAACCCAACTCTACCGTTGGCAAAAATATGACTGAATTTGGACACACTCCCTGACGCCTCTGTGAGATGGGAATAACAACAGCTCCTCGTAATGAAGAAAAGAACAAGATCCAGCTGTAGGGCATTTTCTTAATTAGTGATTGATAGCAGAGGGCCCAACCCATTTTGAGTGGTACTATCCCTGGGCTGGCGGTCCTGGGTTCTATAAGAAAGCAGGCTGAGCAAGCCATGAGAAGCAAGGCAGTAAGCAGCTCCCCTCCCTGGCCTCTGCATCAGCTCCTGCCTCCAGGTTCAGGTTCCTGCCCTGTTTGAGTTCCTGTTGTGACTTCCTTCAGTGATGAACAGTGATGAGGAAGTATAAGTCAAATAAACCCTTCCCTCCCCAGGTAGCTTTTGGTTACGGCGTTTCATTATAGCAATAGAAACCCTAAATAAGACAGGTCAAAATGGCTACCACCCCAACGAATAGGGTAAATGTCACGGGGCAGGGTTTCCAAAGAAGACCTAGGAGATAAAGATGGGATCTAGGGAAGTATATGGCGGGACTGCTCTTTGATCCCCTCATTCTGAAGGATTGGCGAGTGGGTGGGTGTGTCTCTATGTCTGTGTGTGACTGGATTATCTCCCTGCTAAATATACAACAGGTCCTTGGATGAGGAAGTTCAAGGACCTTTTATCCAGGCCTGCCTCTACTGCTAACAAGCTGCATAATTGCCACACTCTGAGACTCAGGGTCTTCATGTGCAAGGTGGCAGGCTGGAGTTGATATTCTCCACAGGAACCTTTCAGATCCAATGTTCTACAGCCCCGTGCCGAGGCCGACCCATCAGCTCACGAGACACAGAGAACTGCTGCTGGTCTGACCTAGGTTGGGACGTAGGACAGAGGAGACAGCACCCTGGCCGTGGGGAAAATGGCCCATATAGAGGAATGGGAAAATGAAGCAAGGTCTAAAAACACTCCCACCACAGCACCAACACTAGGGAGCCTGCACAGTGGAAGCCAGACATAGAACAACAGCCCACTGACAGGCTTCCAGGGAGGCCAGGGACCCAGAATAGCCAAGGAAGGAAGGATAAATAAGGAAGGTCTTTAAATGTGTGGCTGACCACAGGCAGACCACAGGGGCCAGAAAAGAAGCGGGGAGTTATTGAAGCAGACAGCGACAGGGCTGGGCTGGGGGAGAGACAGCTGCTGTGCCTCAGAGCTACGGTCTATGGCAGGTGTCTGGCCAAGCTGAACACAGAGGATTCCTATCAACTTTGCTCACCTCTCCAGAGTGGGCGCCTCAAGAACAGTGTTCTCGGGGCTTAGCCTCAGGTGGGGCCCTTCTTCAGCTGAGGCTAGCTTATATCCTAACCTCCCTTTTTTGAGTGATACTTGTTATCTTTAAGTATTTTATAGTGGTGCAACAAACACAAGTAACAGGATGTCATACTGGTTCCCTGGGCCAGATCCTGGCCGCCATCTTCACTGGTGGGAATCTAGCCCCATCCTGTCCCCCTGAAGTTCCCACTACAAGTGAGGGGCTGAGGCTGGAGATGCTATGCCCCGGGGCACAGCCTCCTCCTCACCTGGTCCTCTACAGAAAACACTTCTTGGCCCCTACCAAACAAAGTGTTTAGGCCTTGAGCAAGCAGCTTGGTCACATTGCAGCCACAGAGAGCCCTGCGGAACTGAACCCTTGGCTCAAGAAGCAGGAGGCAGACCCTTCCAAGGGTGCCCAGGCTCCTGACTTCCATCGGCATCCCTCCCCCTAGGCCTGTGCTTTCCGACAGTCACAGCAGACGAGCCCCTCTGGGGCTGGCCTCACTCATCGGGGCTGAGAGCTCTGTGCACACCCACGGGGAGCTGGACTGCATTCACACCCCCCCACACTTCTGCAGGCAGCCCTTTATGTGAGTGCACTCACTGAGCCACTCCTAACCCTGGGCAATCTGGGTGGCATCTGAGTGGTCAGGGACAATGCGCTCAGAAGATTCTAGTTTGCATCTTCCGATGGATGGACCCAGACATGGGCCCCCCATGGGACAGTCACGGAGGGGTGAACGCTCGAGGCTCCTGGTGTGCACAGGGTGGGTGGAAGGGCAGAGGTTTCACCTCAGAGTGAACCCAGCGGGCTGTCTTCTTATCATCCCATGGCGTTATCGAGTTGGAAGTGGAGGCCGGTAGGACCTGTGAGCAACTACCACAGGGCCCCAGCATCTGGAACCCTAGGACCAGGCATCTAGGACATCTGAGCCCAAGGCTGAGGGTCCTCCAAGAGAACTATTCCCCAGCACAGGCTACAGAACCAGGCCCATGAGCCAGGATCCAAAGTACAAGGAAGGTGCTTCCTGGAGATGTTCTTGGTGGCATGGGACACCCATGACAAAGATGCCCCTGTTGGTACAACTCATGGTTTCCCAAAGTTACTTGGCCAGAGAAGCCTTTTGAGAGAGAACCCTCCTCAGCACCCACTTTGAGAAGGCCTGCTCTGATTTCCTAAGGCCCCTCTGGTCCTAAGGCCTGGTCTCCAGCAGCGTGTTTCTCAAAGGCTTTTCAAAGCTGTCCCAGGGAGGAAGGGACAGCTCCTTTCCAGGCCTGGTGCTTGGTCCCCACCCACCCAGGAGGTGGGAAAAGTACTCACTGCTCTGGGAGGCTCCCTCCCCTGAGGTGGCTTCAGTATCTGTGAGAAAAAGAGAGACAGAGGAAGGAGGTAGGCAACTGGTAAAGATGAAGGCGGGGGCAGCGCTGTGCCAAGGGAGAGACCATGAGCGGAGCAGCTGGAGGGAGTCCGGAGTGTTGTCCACGCATGGATGCTATGAGGGACAAAGGCTCACTTCTGCCCCGAGGCTCAAGATCACCTGGGCCTGAACCTGGGCTTCTCTCCCCTGCCCCCCAGCTCAGGAGGCTGCGGCAGGTGCCAGCTCATTTGTCCCCTGAACTCCAGAATGGGAGACTAAGGAGCTGCTGGCCCCTCTCTTGAGTTGTCAAGAGCAACAAGAGATGATGTGAGCACATGGCCTTTTGGGGAAGGGGAGGTGATACTCCTACTGAGCATCCCTAGAGCCCTCAAGGCCTGACTCCCACCTCCACCCCCCACACACACACTATTTTTCCCACACCAAGAAGGCTCCTCCCTCCCTCCACGCCCCTACTCCTACGGCTGAAGGAGGATGAACTCTCAGGGTCTCCAGGGACACCGGGAAGAGCACAGGGCAGCCAGGCGCCACTCACCTCGGTGCGCCCGCACGTGGGTCTGGAAGCAGTTGTAGTACTTGTACTTCTTGCCGCAGATCGCACATTCGTAGGACCCTGGAAAACAGCAGGGGACAGTGAGCTACTGTGCCACCACAAGGCCCAGGACCCACAAGGTCCCTTGGCAGACAAAAGGGTGTCGAGGGCCACAGAGACAGCCTTGAGCTGGAGTTCATGAAGCCTGGGTCCTACATCCACCTGCAGCCACCTCTGTTCCCCGGCTTCCGAAGCTGCAGGATAAAGGTGACAGCCTGGACTGAGCCCTGCACATACACATTGAGAGGAAAAAGGAGAGGGACCCAGAGTGCTGGGGTGGGCCACCACACCATAAGGACGTCACTCCAGCAAGGGACAGAGAGGAAGACCACAGGCTTCAAATCAGGCCACAGGGGTTCGGGTCCCCATTCCGCCGCACCTGCCACCAGTCTGGCCTTGGTAATTTCTCCACAGCAGGCTGTGCTCTGTGCACCGCCCTCCAGCTGGCCCTTCACTCCCCCTAGCAAGTGTCCAGTCCCACTATAGACAAGCTCACCAAGAACAGCAGTCCACATCTGCCAAGGAGCCATGGTGCTCTCAGACACAGAGAATACCCCCCAACACACACACACACACACACACACACACACACACACACACACACACACACACACACTTCCTCTGCGTGGAGCCTTTTCCCAGGTACAGAGAACTAAAAAGGCTGACCGCCCCCAAAATGACCCACCATGTAGAGTCTGGGACAAAGTCCATGGCAGGGAGGCTGGACACAGCCAACCTGGCAGGGACCCCAGGTAAAGAGCCTGCCCAGCTCCAGTGGGCAGAGGCCTCCTGCAGGCTTGAGACTACTTGGGCCCAGCTTCCACCTTCTAGAACAGGAAGGCCAGGAAGCATGTGCAAGAGGTCTTGGTCCCAGCACAGGTCATACTCAAGCTGCTGGCTCTGGGGGCCTAGGCACGTGACTTCCCAGGAAACGACTGGCACCTAGCAGTCAAGGTGGGAGCATCACTCCTTCAGTGCGAAGGGGCTCGACTCTGCCATTCACAGGCTGTGCCCAAGTCTCTTCTTTGGAAAAGGCAAGGGAGTTAATGGGAAGACTGAACACACAAGAACCACGTTCCCTGAGGACCCCTGGGGAGCGGTAACGATCACCAACTGCCACTCTTTTCTTCTGTGCCCAGAAGCAGAGACTCTTCGGTCAAGCGCCTGGGAGAGTCTGTATGCCAACCCCGCTCCTCCTCTAGAACCCACTTTCACTTGTCTACAGCTTGGATCCTTCATGTGCCAACAGGACTGTGGCTCCTGCCTCTCCCAATGAGAGCAGGGCACACAGATAGCACACGAGCCTCTGGCACAGAGGAAGCACTAGGGCAAAGGACCCTTTCACAGGGACCGCCTAAGGCCATCGGGGAACACAGATATGTACATTTGGACTCATCACAGTAGCAGAATTATAGTAACGAAGCAGCAACAATAATACCTTTATGGTTGGGGGTCACCACCACATGGGGACCTGTATTAAGGGGTCGCAGCACTAGGAAAGTTGAGAAGCACTGCTCTAGGAGACAGTAGCCAGTGCCCGTGGTACTGCGAGTTACTTCAGGGACACTGGCATCCGAATCCCGCACAGCACCGAGCAGTCTGCCTCTCAGGGTTGCATATACATCACCCCTGCCACACTGGGAAAGATACAAACGCGAAGCAACAGAGCGCACACATTTCTCTGCACTCAGCCCCGTAGCTGGCACACAGCGAGGACTCAGTATTTCATGGTGGCTTGCTGCCGGGCTCATCCATCACCAAGTGGTAACTTCCTGACTGTCGTCTTGGCGCCTCCACCCCCTCTAACAGTTTCTGCCAGTTTCTTTCCACCAACCAAGGATTTATTGAGCATCGGAGATGGCCAGGCACCGAGGCTCGGCAAGGAGATAGATGTGATCCCTGCCCTCCGTCTAATGGGGGGCAGATAGGTCAGCAGGCCTGGGGATAACTTGGTGACGGTGTCGTGACAGCCAGAATAGGACCTGGAGGCTCGAGGTGGGACCCTGGCCCGGTTTGTAGAGGAGTGCAGTCTACGGAGTCAATACTGTTTACAATGAGTGCCTATAAGGCAGACCACATCTTCTGCTGGTGGGGAGCTGAGAGTTCAGGCTGCCTTGTTGTGAGGCTTCTGACCATCTCCCTACCCCTGACAGAGGGAGGATAAGTACCACACGCTGGCAGGAGGGACTCCGAAGCTCACCTTCCGATCACCCTCAGTGCCCCGGGGCTCCAGGTTCCCTGTGGGTAGAAGGTGTGCATGGACAGAGAAAAGAGAGTGGTGGCCTCACCGAGCAGTAGCCGCAACCCACCGAGGTCTAAATCTTAACTCCCTGAGCGCCAGTCAGGAAAAGCCCCAGGAGTCCTCTCTGTGAAGCGACTGATCGTCATGGGGATGAGATGTGGTGAGACCCTGAGTCTCAGCAGAAGGCCTGGTTACTGCTGGCACTCAGCAAGGGAGCATTTTGGCTACCACCGGCATTTCAAAAGCGTTTTCCTCAGAAGCAAGTTTCTAGCATGCGGAGGAGGAGGAGGAGGAGGAGGAGGAGGAGGAGGAGGAGGAGGAGGAGGAGGAGGAGGAGGAGGAGGAGGAGGAAGAGGAGGAGGAGGAGGAGGAGGGCCACAGCCAACAGAGACAGGGCAAACGCTCAACACATGGCCCTGTGCTGGTGAGACAGAAGCACACAGCTGCTGCAGGCTGGGAAGTCCCGCAAGGAAGGATGGAGGCACCACACACACAGGTGGCTGGGGGACCATTCTCCTCCGTGGCTGTCGGCGGCCCAGAGGAAGTCTTGCTGAAATTGTCCAGAGACTCTAGACCACCCGATTTCCAGACGTCCTGTCATCCCTGGGTACAGACTCAAGATTTGTTCACAATGGCCGGATGGGGAGTGGGGGAGGGAGGGTGGCCCCTCAGGCCCTGAGAGACTAGCAGAGTTTGCTTGCTCAGGGTATGTAGCTGGCCGCCATGGCCAGCGGTGCCCACCCTCCATGCTGACCCGATCAGGCCTCGTCCATCCCTCAGCCATCACGTACCAGATGCATATCTCAAAGCTTGGTCAAAAATCCAGGTCCCTGAATACCGGCTCCGAACAGATCCACCGTGGGGGCTGCCTTCTGGAGCTTTTCCATCTGAATTACGTAAGAAATCAGAAAGAGCCCTTAACATTGGAGAATGCCTTACGATTGAGCTTTGGGTCAAGGCCAGCTGGGGGAAGGGGATGACCAGGCACCTCACCTGGGCTATCAGGGCCTCAGTCTCCCTAGCTGACATCAGTAAGAGTAGTTAGGGCCATGTGGCAGCCTCCTCATTTGAAAACTTGTGCTGGCACCTGGGTGAGGTGGCACCCGCCTACAATCCCAGATCTCAGGAGGCAGGGGTGGGAGGATGGCAGGTTCAAGGTTAGCCTGCTCTACTACCTAGTGAATCTTAGGCCAGCCTGAGCTAAAGAGCCAGACCCTTTCTCAAAACAAATAAACAGGGCTGGGGAGACAGCTCAGCTGGTATAGTACTAACATTACAAGCACGAGGATCTGAATTTTATCCCCAGACACCACATAAAAGACACTGTGGTGCACACTCCTAATCCCAGCACTGGAGGTCAGGACAGAGAGATCCCTGGTGCTGGCTAGACAGCCAGCTTATCATACTTGGTGAGTTCTGAGCCAACGAGAGACCCTGCCTGGATCCAAGAAAAGGAGGCATGTGGTACCTGAGGAATGATACTGAGTACCTGAGGTTGTCCTGTGGCCTCGACACACATGCATGCATGCACCACACACACACACACACACACACACACACACACACACACACACACACACACACCAAATATTAGTATTGACCATGGTCATTCATGTGTTCTCCAGGGCTGTTAGGAGGGCAGAAGCAGTGGATAGGCCAACCCTCCCGATGTTTTGTTTTCTAGAAATTCTCATTGGCACATGAGCATAACACCCCACCCCACCCCTGCCGCCCAATAAAAAGTTCCCAATAAAATGATCCTTGAAGGAGACACATGGCATGCTCACTTTGACCTCTGTCCACCTCTCATGGCCACCCCTGACCCTTTTTGGTGCTGGGGCACTGGAGGAATGCCTCTGGTACTGTCAGCTCAGACCAACTCCCACCACTGCCCCCTGCCCCAACCTCCACCCCTAGCCCTGGGACTCCTGCCCTGCATGCTTCCTCTTTGGCTGGCTCCTCTGTAAAACACTGCAGTGCCCGTCACCTGGGACATCTCGGAATGGGGCTGGCCTCTGACTCGGCACAGCTGGGGGAGCAGAGATGGAGGCAGGCACACTCCGGAATCTGCCCAGGCTGTAGGGCTGGGGGGCGGGGAGTACAAGATGCCAGCTTGGGGGCTTCTCCCATTAGTTCAACACCTCTTCAAAGCTCTGGAGAAGAGGGGTCGCTACTATCTCCATTTTTCAACAGAGGGAAGGGAGGACCAAGAAGGTGACACATCCTGACCCAAGGTCGCTCGGTTCTGCAAAACTGAGTGTCACCATCAGCTTCACAGAGGACGTCCTTAGCGCAGCGCTGGTGAGCAGGTACAGGCCTTGCTTCCCCTCCCCACCTTTCCACTCCACTGCATCACTGGAGAGCACATGGTCCTGAAGATGCCCAGGCCTGGGGCTCTGGGGCTGGTGAGGACACACACTCAAAGCCAGTCCCCAGGATTCCAGAGGTAGGCCTGTGCCAGCACAGTAGGTCTCTCTTTCTGGATGCCAAGCAAGTTATGTTCTCCTTAGTGGTGAGGCCATACACTCTCCAGAGCTAGGGTCCTTACCAGATCTGACACCACATCCCGGACGGACGGACGGACTCTCAGTTCTGGGAGGGACTCTCCTGCTCTGAAGGGGCGGGCTGGCAGGACTTGCCTGCCCAGTTCAGTCTTTCCCCATCCCTGTCCCTGTTTCCCTGCAAGATGGCTCCCAGGCTGCAAACAGAGCCTTATCAGCAGCTCCCACTTAGTACTTTGCTACATCCCTGGCAGAGGCTTTGGCCTGGAGTCCTGTGGGAGAGGAATGTATGAGGGGGACCAGGAGAGGAAGCAGTATTCTGAGGACAGGAAATGTGTGTAGGACCCTTGACTGCAAGTGTGTATACCCAGCTGCCATGTCCAGAGAAGCTTGGACATCTAGACAAAATATAAAATGACCGACACCCAAAGGAGATGGATGGAAGATCACAGACCTGAGGCCCATGGATATCTATGCCCCTCACCCCCCAGTTCCCAGAACTTGATAAAGGCAGGCTTTGGAGTGGGAAGTTGTGACAAGTGGGCTTCCTAAGGCTCCCAAGGGCTTGGCCCCAACTGAACGCCCTCTGGAGCAGGGCCTTCTCAAAGGGGCGCTTGAGGACAGTGGCTGTAAGACAATTGCTTCCCTGCTGTCAACTTCAAAGCACTTTCCCCCTTAACCCAATCAATCAGAGCAGGTGGGGAGGCACTGCCCACTGGTCTCCTCTGTCACTCTCTCCTTCAGCTTCTCCCAGTCTGCCAGTGCTAACCGCCAAGCGCTAACCACTAAGCTCTCACCCTTCTGCAGGGCTGGTGCCCTCCGCAGGGGCAGGACAACACTGACGTTCTGAGCACAGAGAAGTGACTGGCTCTAAAGACTGGGGACAGACAGCCTGCTCTCCGATCAGGGGTTTCCAGTTCTCCGCTCTCCCTCGGAATGGAGATGGAAGGGCAGGGAGAACGGCTCCGTGGTGAAGTGGCCGCTGTACAAGCGCGAGGACCTGAGTTTGGAGCCCCCTCACCCACACATCAGTCAGGGGCGGCAGCGCACAGCTGGGATCCTACTGCTGGAGAAGAAGGCAAAGACAGAAGGATCCTTGGGGATCCAGTCAGACTAGCCAAACAGCCGAGCTCCGGGTTCAGCAAGAGACCCTGTCTCAAAAAAATAAAGGGACGGAGTAAGAGAGACACCCCACACTGACTTCCGGCTTCCATACCTGTATTCTTACACATGTGGACGGGGACACACACACACACACGTGCACGCGCACACACACACACACACACACACACACACACACACACACACACACACACACACGGATCTAACAGGGCTGTAAATGAAGAGGCCATTAAAAATACTGTCTGAAGACGGACCCTCCTGTGGTTTTTGGCATACGTCTTGGAAAAATTCAAGGAATCGAGTGACATGGTGAAGCAAGCCCCATGGTCTCCGGCTCCCTGTTCACACGCTCCAGCCCTCCAAACACTGAAAACCAGCACGAAAGGAGGGCCACGTCCTGTCTCATTCTACCAGTAAGAAATATTAATTCACAGATACATGAGCTGATCGAGAAAGAAAGAAAGCCTTACCCATTTTATCGAGAAGTGTGCTTTGGATAATTTTTTTTTATTTTTACACTTACTATTTATCTAAATTTGTTTTTGACAATTTGCATGCTAATCACAACTCGGTCTGGGGGAAAAAAATTAAAAGGTTTTAAAATGTAGAGCTTTATGATCCCAGGAAATTTTTTTTTTCCTCCAGAAATTTCTATTTCAATTTATGTACCTCTTGTTGTGGCAGACGAGTGTGAAACAGTGATCAATAAAAGACTTCCAAGCATAAAAAATATATTACATTAGGATAAACCCCCATGGGGGAAGTGGACTAGAAAGAGGAGTTCAAGGAGAGAAAAAGAGGATATAAAATTCCTGTCTGCTAAAGATGAGCTTGTTCACATGCTTTTTAAAGCGACAATGGCGGGCCCTAAATAGCAGTGGCATTGTGATCATTTCCATAATTCTGCCTTTAAAAAACAATACAATATTCCAGGAATTATAACCTTTGCAACTGGTGAGAAATGAAAGCCAGTCTTTTAGGAGGCACTAAACTAAAGGTGTTTGATGCACTGGTCTGTGGTGTTCCTCTCATCACCGCATTCATCCTGGGGGTGCCAAGGCCCTGAGGCCTCAGCTGATGCCAGAACCTATCCTGTGTTTTAGTCCACCTTTAGAGACATTCTCACAACTCTTGTCCTAACGATCCCGCAGATTTAAACCACTGAGCGTCCCACACACAGTGGGGTAGACCCCAGGTCTCCTAACTTACAGCCAGGATCCCCTTCCAATAGGGGTTTTCCACCCAGACCCCTCCCCAGTTTACCCCAGACACAGATTCAATAGCAGAGAAAACCGGCCCAGGAGGGCAGCCAGGACTCCTCCTTCCCTCGTGGCTGTAGCAAAAAAAAAAAAACCCTAAGTGTTGGTTCTGGCAGGCTCAGGCACCAAGACCTGCCAACAGCCTATTGAAATAGGAAACTTGCTATCAGCTGGGACTACCAAATAGGACCTGGCACCTTCGCCTCCTGGACTTGTCAAGGACCGAAGCCCACGTGGCTGTGTCTGAGTAGTTGTGGAACTCATCACTCCATCCAGAGCCACAGCCCTGTGGCTTCCTACTGCCTGGGGTTCCCCCTTCCTCCTCCACTCCCTCTCCCAGGATGGCTTTGTGGGCGTGCTTGTGTATGAGAACTGTCCTTCCTTCTTGGGTACACTTTGCACCTATTCACTGCCTAGGACAGACACCTCCCTGCAGAATCTAGTTTCTATCTGACCCTTGATTCTTCTCTTGTAGCTTGGCTGGCTGCCATCCTTCCTCTCTGTTTGCCTACCTCTAGGACCAGAAACTCATTCCCTCACAGGTTATATTTGGTCACCAAACAATTTCTGACACAAATGACTTCCTGGTGGCCACTCCATACTGGTTGGACTTTTTGGAATGTGTGTGTTAAGTATCCTAAAATTCTGTGGGCTGTGGATATCTAGCCTCCATCACCCTACTCCATGTCCCCTACAGGCTCTGTTGCTTCTCCAAGACACACAGTCCTAGGCTTGTCCCCGTGTCCCTCCCTACACGGTTAACACCTGGTTGGTTCAGACTTCACAAGAAGCAGAGTCCAGTGGAGGCAAGACTGTTCCCTGGCTCTGTCTCCATGAACATGAACCCTCCCTGGGCCACCCAGCCCCTGGTTGGCTCCACAGCATAGAGAAGAGCACTCACTGATTGAGGGTACATTTTGAAAACAGGGATGAGTGCCTGCCATTCTTATCTCTTGGGACCAGTCAATGGTCCACGATGACGTCCGGACTGTGGTGAGCCCAGCT